GTGTGTGTGTGTGTGTGTGTGTGTGTGTGTGTGTGTGTGTGTGTGTGGTTGCTGCAGCCTACAGGAGGTATCTACGCCAGACTGGAAGCGCAATTTAAGAGTGTCGCTCAAGCCAGACAGAGTTCAGAGAAGACACCCAGGTACTATTTCTGCACACACAAACACACTCATCATCATCATGTCCCATTCAATAACTCTTCTTTCTCTGTAGATCTAAAATACGCTACGCTCAGATCCGGACCACATAAAGGACCCGATGGGGAAAAGGCTGCTGAGCTGTCTAAGAGACGGACATGAAAACTGACTGAGAGAGAACGAAGAGGAAGAGGAGAGATCCTTCCGCGAGGGCTCAGTGCAACAACATAAATTCCCGCTGGCACCCCCTCCCACCCTTAAAGCACGGCCTCCACTCATATAACCCAGCTGTGGACTCCTCACCCTCGCATTCTTTGTCAGCCCCCCTCCCTCCCTCTGGGCTTCACTCAGGTGACTTCGTTATTGATCACCATCAGCCCGTCACTCAGCTAGCTCCTTATTTGTGCAGCTGTGGTCAGTCCTGGAAAACAAACAAGAGGTCTGGATCCAGCTCAGCACGAAGGGAAATGCACTCGATCAAACTTCTCCGTGTGTGTTTAGGATTTAGTGTTGGAGCTCGGCCAGTTTCTGCAAAGGACAACATGGGAAATGCTAGTTTATTATTTTCTGTCGTCTTCCTGGAAGATCTGAATGATTCGGATCCAGTAATCACCAACAGTGATGCCGAAGGCCGGATAGGGAATGACACGCTCACCGCTTCGACGCGGCTTGTTTAGGTTAAGACGCCGATCTAGACACATACGAGTTGACTCTGCACTCGCATTTATGGTCTTCTGGGCAGATGACAGACGCTGCGGTGTGTTGGGGGGGGGGGGGGGGGGGGGCTGGGCTCTCAACTATCAACTTGGCCCAGTTTGACCGCAACCTGTCAGCCGACCCTTTGCTCCAACTTAGATGATGTCAAAGAATTTAACGGGGGTGGAATAAAAAATGTAAATGCTGATTATACTCCTTTCACTGTTTCTTTCTTTCTTTCTTTATTCTTTTAAGACCTTAGTGGGCCTTTTAGGTCTTCCCTGAAAGCCTGTTTGGTGGAAACGGTGTGAAAGTCCTGTGCAGAGGGGCTGGTATGCGCCACTGGGTAGAGGGTCAGCCGCTGTCCAGTGGGTGTGCTAACCTGGCTCTTCCTGTCTGACTTACTCACAGGGGTATTAATAACCCGGCCTGCCTACAGCGAACGGAAGGAGGAGGCGTGGAGTGGGCTTTTCTTTTTTTATTGGGTGGTGAAGGGGGGGGGGCTGCACTACCCCAGCTGTCCCCTCTTCTCCTCGACAGCAAATGCCGAGAATGGCTGAGGATCTGGGTCAGGAAGCGTGCGTGCGTGCGTGTGTCCGTGTGTGTCCAGTTACAGCCCGACTGAATTATGGTCCCAGAGGGTTCAGATATTGGAGCATCAAGGCAAACACGTGAACTAATAATTACCAGGAGAAAGAGATGCTGACTCCACGAAACCATGCAGAAAATAGAAGTTGTGTCCCCAATACGAGCGAAAGGCTTCCTTTAAAGGGGGCGTGCAGCGGGACAACCGTTCAGGGTTTTGACCCTAAAACAACAGAAGACTCGCAGCAAACAACTTGCAAACATTCAGTGCCTCGTAGTGGGAACCGCTCCCTCTCCGGTTGCATCGGATGGGCGTTCCAACACATCGGTGGCGAGGCGTCATCACAACCTTTAATGTAATACCAGCATGTTAACGGGGATTAGTGGCGGGGTCGGTTCACACAGCGCCGACCTCGGCCAAAGACGCCGCAAGCGGAAATGTCCCGGGAACAACTGCGCTGGACGACAGATGACACCCGTCGCCGTCGTCGTCGTCGTCGTCGTCATCATCATCTGCTGCCTTTCCTTTTAGGATTTCAGGTCGAACTAAGAATTTTACCAAATTCGTTCAGATGCAGCAAACAATACAAATAGTTCATTCTCGATGTGGATAAATGCCTGAAATAGAAAGAGCAATGCCCCCCCCCATGTCTCAGAGGAAGAACACCACATTAAGCCCTCTGCCAACATGTGGTCAGTTCACCTGCTCCAAACTCTTTTTCAGACTGCAGGGTTTCGACTTCAATTTCACAGATAAGTGTAAGAACGAGTCTAACTTCCAAATCAAAGGTAAAAAAATGAACACATTTTGGAGTCGAGGGTGAAATAAATACCATCTTATAAAAATGAAACAAAATCCGAGCGAAGGCAGGGTTATAAAATTCTCAGCTTTAATCAGTTCAAAAAGTTCACAACAAATGGAACACCTCGAGAAGGAGAATTTGCCATTAGAGATCGGGTGCTTATTTGCATTTATACATTATTTTCATAATTAAACCTAATTTCCTAATTTGCTCTCCGGTCAGAAAACCCCCCAAAAAAAACAACCCTTTTGTTTTATTCGGACTGAACTCAAACTAGGTACAACTGAAATAAAATGCAAAAATACAAAATGAAAAGTAAACCCAGTTTTATTGGTTTTCACTTTGCTCTAAAGGTAGCGTCTTGGAGCACTGCCGCCTGGTAAACAATCTAAATTAGTACAATTCAAAAAATCTCAAAAGCCATCTGAGTTAAACAGGAGTTGTTATAAAGATGCAACCAACTAAGAACCCATAAATACCTCCGCCACTTCCTTAAAACATCCCGTTGATGAAGGCTCACACATGAGCAACAATCCTCTTAGAGGAAAACAAAACGCTGATGTCGACTCGGCGACAGCACACACGCACACACACCCACAACAAAAAAGAAACAATAGAATAAAAAGAAAAGAAAAAAGAAATGTTCCCATGGTATTAAAGATGCTATACAATTGGGATGATATGCACATATTTCGGTTTTGCTTTCCCTAAAAAGAAAAAACCTGCCGGCAGCAGTCACACACGAGCGGGACTCGTGAGCGGCCGATGCCGACACGCGGAGCAGCATCTCTCCGCCTTCATTCATTAATCCTTTAGATTCACATTCTCCCACGATGCAGTGGGGCACCGGATGGCGCGTCCGCCGCTGAAAGACCACTTCCTGTCCGTCACACCACGGGTCCAGAAACCTGCTCAGACTGTATATATATATATAAACAGATATATCAGAAAAAGGGAAGAGCTGGGGTAAAGAAAAAAAGAAAAGAACGTGGGAGGTCGAGGGAACAGAAGGAAAATAAGATGGTTAAGTCTAATCGTTAGAACCTCATCATGCAGGTCTTGGGATGGACCGACAAAACGGAAGCTTCGAGTAACAGTTCTGGAAAGATATTACACAAAAAAGTCTCCATAGAAAACGCAGATTATGTAAAAAGGGCCACAGGGTGACGCGGTAATCATGTACACGTTGTTGGCATTGTTTTGGTCAACAAACATCCGGTGGGACGGCCCGCGGCCTCCCGCCACACTCAAGTGCGTCTCTTGGGTTCCGTTGTGTTTGCTGTGGTTAGGGTTGATTTGTTTGTTTGGACTACTGTACAGTCTGACGGCGCCGCGGCTCAGTCACACATCTCCTCGGGGATCTCGTGCGGGTTGAGGATGCCCGGGACGGACATCTGGATCTTGTGTTTCTCCTCCTGGGCCTGACGAAGCGACGCCTCCCTCTCCTCCAGGAACAGGTCTGAGGTGTCCTCGCCGGCAAACTCCTGGAACGGCAGAACAAGCAGACGCTGTGGTTAGCTCTCAGAACGGCGGACTACAGTACACCGCCATGGATGCATCCTCTCTATCCACTGATCCTAGAGCAGGATCCAACTAACGACTACTTATATTCATCAATTCACTTTACATTTAACTGATTGTTCTCTTTTAGTTTAAACTTAATCCTTCGACAACCAGTCAAGTTGCAACTTTCCGGACTCCGAGGTGACATTAAAGTGTCCAAAACACAAATCTATTTCATTTACAAAGATTTAAACCAGTGAAAACAAGCAGCAAACAGTGAATGTTTAGCATTTTCACACAATAAATGACTAAATAAAGGACGAACTGCTTATTAAAATTGTTGACAATAATTCGGATACCAGTGCTTCATTGATAAGCTGTCGATGTCTCACTGTGTGGAAGACACCATCGTTCTGTTATTTGTAAGGCAACATCAGGCTCGACTTACACACAGCATTGTGAACTTTTTACAACAAAAATGTAACAAATGAATACAAATAGATATAAATGTATATCCGACAACACTGAAACCCGATCCAGCGATTTGAGTCAGTATTGGATCTCTACGCATAAGCGATTAACAATCCTGATTACGTCTCAAAGCTCAGTTTTAGCGCTAATTTAAAAAAAATTATAGGCGGGAAAATAACCACAGAAAAAAAATCCATGGAGCCTGACAGCTGAAAAACCACATCAGTCGCCATCATACACCGTTTTATTCCAGCGACAAGCTGACACAGCCGCACACCTTCAGTCCACTTAGCAGAACAACCTGAAATATGTTATTTCTGGAATCGGCAGCCGAGCAGTTCGCCATGTGGAGCCCGATAACCTCTGTGAGCAGAGACAAAGACGGAGGCATGCAGGGCCTTGTTCTGGTTAGTTCAGCTCATCAGCAAACAAAACACACATGGACATATATCCCATTAAATCAGCACCAAGTGTAACTGCTGGTGTTCGTCTCTGTGGTGACACCTAGAGTAGCGGATGCCGTCCAAAGCGACTCACGACTGAGCACGTTGAGCTCACCTTTATCTGCACGAGGAAGTCCCGAAGGTGCTCCTTGAAGGCAGGAATATCCTGGTTTAAGCTGAACAGCCCGGTGACAAACACCTTCACCTGAGCACTGATACACACACACACACACAGGGATGTTAATGAAAAGTGTTTGACACAGCAGAGATTGTGTGTGTGTGCGGGTCGGTGTACTCACTCTTGTAGGTGAGGGAAGGCGGTCTTGAGCAGGTTGGCCACGTACTCCTGGATGAAGCCCTGGTTGTTGGTGGGGCTGGACGGGTTCAGCACCGTGGTGATCTTCCCCTCCTCCACCAGGTTGAACATGTAGGCCAGGATGGAGGCGTGCATCGTCAGGCCTGCAGGACACACACACACACACACACACACACACACACACACACACACACACAATTACTGAAGGAACTTCATTTAAACATCATATCGCAAGTTTCTACGACAGAAACAAATGCCGTTTTACTTTTGCTGCTCAGAAGAAATGAATTCAAGCGACTGATTGTGGTGATGTTTTATCTTTGCGTGCTAGATGCAGTATTTCACGCTTCGTAACGATTTATCTCCGATTGGGGTTTCCGCACACATCTTTGCTGTCTGAATGAGAACGCTGCTTTGTCCTCTTTATAGATCTGTAGAATGCAACACTGGTACATATTTCTGTATGAGGCCATAGTACATCAACTGCCTCCTTATTTCTGCTGACGTTAACTATCAGTAGATAATGCAGACAAATTATATTCATTATTCCTGGAACCTGCATCGTTTTTGGTGAAAGTGCTTTTAAAGTTCCTGGTGTGAGCTGCACTTAAAGATGGATTATTTTATCATTATTGAATCATTTGAGCACTGAAGGAAAATCATTTGACCGTTACAATTTGCTTTAAGTCAGTCGTCTCTTTTATGTGAAGTTTTTTTGTTATTTTTGTAACTTCTGTTTGTGTCGCTTATCTGTGTTTTTATGATGCGCTTGTGTTGAACTTTTACGCTGCCATCTTGTAAATCCAAATCTCAATGGGATCATCCCGGCTAAATAAAGGTTAATCCTTAAAAGAGAGCGTTCAGGTGTCCCCACAGCTCATGCCTGTGTGTGTGTGTGTGTGTGTGTGTGTGTGTGTGTGTGTGTGTGTGGACTCACCAGCAGTATGCGATGTGTCGGTGACCACAGAGAAGATGTGTTGCAGGATATCGCAGAAGTACGTCTGGTAGAAGCTCTGCGCGGCGGCTTCCTCCTGGGCCACGTTCTGCAGCAGCGTGTAGAGAATCTGCAGACCTGGACGAGCACAAACACGAGAGCTTCCTCACATCACGGCCTCACAAAAGGTGCATTAAACCCGTACACTACTGCAGCAGAGGGCAAACTTCATCTCAAGTCATAATTATGAGAAGAAAAAAAAAGTCAAAGTGATGAGAAACTCAAAACTACTAGATGAAAAAGCCATACTTATGATATAAAATCATAATTATGAGATAAAAAGTTGAAATTAAGAAAGAGAAAGTCATAAATATGAGTCAAAATGATGTGATACAAAGTCAAAAATGATGACAGGCGGAAATGGGCTTTCATAGCTTTTAAACAAATAGATTTTATCGTGCGATACATTCTGTCCTCCAGACTTGATACAACACAACACCTGGATTGTTATATAACATTTAGTATTCATGCTCCAGGCACTATATGAGCTCAATGTCAACATGAAATATGTGTGTGTGTGTGTGTGTGTAGCCCTACCAGTATCAGCCACGTTCCTCATGGTGTGTTTGAAGGCCCAGATGATGGAGTCCAGCACCAGCTTGAACTGGGCGGGGGGGATGGCGAGGAACGCGGGGAAGCAGTGAGAGTTCACCGCTTGCAGTAAGTAGAAGAAGTGAGTCCTGTGCTCGGGGAACTCCTCGAAGTTCTAGCAGAAAAATAACAAGTTGTTCAGCACTTGTTCCTCACATGTTGCTCTAAAAGAACATTAAATAACTGCAGTCAAATATGAATAATATTGTCACACTTGCACAGAGTTACATTTCTTTAAACAACATTGGTCCCATCATACAATGATACACTAAGAAAGTTAACCCTTGAATGCCAGTTTGTTTACAACACAGAACTATATAATAATATAGTAGAACATAATAAAATGCAGGATTTTATGCTGGTAGCGGGATCTGGTAGCCAGCGATTCAAAACTTAAAAAGCCAAAAAAGTCCCTAGTGCAGCACAAGGGTTAACTCCTAATATATAACTCTTTATATAACACAGTCTGTTGTTGTTTACAAGCCTGAACTTGCACTTCGGGGAGAGGTTTATATATCGTTTATTCAAATGAGTTGGTGCGGTGCTTTTCTTTCATGTGAAGTATCACCTGTTAGACACGCGTTCCACTTTCAGACAGTCTGACTGTACCAAGTATAACTTAATACATATTTTAGATGCACACAGTAGGTTCAAGGGTGGGTTGCTAAAAAGGGAAACGCAATAATTGCCCCGGGGTCCAAAGCACATTGTGGCCCCGGGCTCCCCTAGTGGATGAATCCGGCCCTGAATAGGTGAGCTTTTTATTTCTAACATGAAAAATAAAGCATGGGATCGTTCTCTGCAGGCTCGGACTGGTCCGCCTCCAACGAGCAGTTGAGCAACCTGAATGACTGACAATTTCTCAACCTGCAACTTATTCTATAATTAATAGTTTTTCATTATATATACATATATATATATACATA